GTGTGTGTGTGTGTGTGTGTGTGTGTGTGTGTGTGTGTGTGTGTGTGGTACACGGAAGAAAAACAGCACTTAGGGTTATACTTTAGTGAGAGAGCGCTGTTAAATATTCAAAGCTCTGCAGTTAACCAACCAGATGAGTTTCCGGTGATGTCGGCAAACGTTTTCTGGAAAATGTGATGATTGTTTAGTTGTTTTAAAAAGCTGAGTGAACATTTAATGTCACTTAACTTTACATTTCTCTTTGTTCCTAATCCCCCCCCTCCCCTCCATGTATGTATCACAGAAGCAGTAGGTATGTCCACACAGAAGCCTGTGTTTTGTGACATCCACAAGCAGGAGCCACTGAAGCTGTTTTGTGAGACGTGTGACCGGCTCACATGTCGGGACTGTCAGCTGCTTAAGCACAAGGATCACAAGTAGGCTGATTTTTTTCTAATTTTTTTTTCCCTAAAATGAAAATCATGTATTGTTCTATTCATCTTCCATAAATATGAATCCTTTGCAACTGGCAATGGTGATTCAGCTTGTTACAGCCATTTTTGATGTTTGATGATCGCAGCTGCGAGGTTTGATGAGGCTTTATGTATTGATGTCAAAACCATGTTGGTATCCAAACAAGTCATATCAGTCATATTATATAAGTCGTCATTGGCGATAGGAATAGATTAAACTGGACCAAAAGAACAAGAACAGCTGTTTAAAAAAAAAGAGATCAACTTTCAATAATTAACGCACATATTGTTTCTTTTCCAGCTACCAGTTTTTGGATGATGCATACAGGAACCACAAGCAGCATCTGGAGAACATGACGCAGCAGTTGCAAGAGAAAAGAAAGGCCATCGAGGACGTGTCCAGCTGTATCAGCACCGGGTAAAGTTCTCCTCTACAGCTGGGACCTCATCACAGTTTATGTTTCTTTGTCTTTTTCAGATATGAGCATATTTGTTTGCATTAACATTTTGACATGGATAAGTTACTATGTATTGAATCACTTTAAAAACTGATATTGATGACATTAATATTCATTTTCACAGACTCCATCACGTGGAGGAAAACCGGATGTCTGTCACCAATGAAATAAAGAAGTCCATCTGTAGCTTGATCATGGAGATCAACAGGAAGGGAAAGATTCTGGTTAACCAGCTTGAGGTACATTTTTAATGACAGTTATGACATGTGAAATACATTTTTTTTTCTCCTCACAATTCATGCCAACATTTCCTCATAGGCTCTGACTAAAGACCACGAGCTGGGTTTGAAAAAGCAGCAAGAGGACGTCAACGCTCTGAGCAGGCACCTAGACCACGTCATCAGCTTTACTAAATGGGCCACAGCCAGCCATAGCGGGACAGCCCTGCTGTACTGCAAGAGACTGGTGAGTGGCTTTAACATCCAACAGCAGCAATTGTTCCATGTTCTGTTGCTGTAGAAATAGGATGTAAATATATATTTTGTCTGTTCTGTCTTCTAGATCCTTTTCCAGATCCATTACCTGATGAGAGCGAGCTGTAATCCCTCCATCGTCCCTCAGAGTACTGTTCGCTTTCAGTGCCGCTCTGGTTTCTGGGCCACGAACGTAGACCTTGGTAAGACTTGCACTTCCGTAGAAACGTTATCACGAGTCAAGCACCGCCGATTAATGATTCGCTAGAAGGCTTAGTGTGTCTTAAAAAAAAATCATCTTCTAAAGAAATAATTACAAACTACACACAGTGTTTTAGTTCGTTACCTTTGCGTTTATATTATTGCTGCACACTGGGTGAAGGAAGTTAGAAAAAAATGCAAAGTTACTGTTGATCTTTGAGTGATAGAATAACTACATCAGCAGCTGAGATTCAAGACAAGGAAAAGAAGAGGAAAGTATTTTTTAATAAGATCGTTCACATAATGAGTGCGCAGCAGTTTGATGGAGAGTTTCATAGAAAGGCTTCCGCTGGTGACGTCATCCTATACTTTCAATTAATCTTTATGCGTCAGTGCGTCTCTAACAATGGATGTAAACTGCAACTCGACCGGTTCTCTTTTGAGATGAGCTCGGGGACCTGGTCGACATGATTTCATACCTGATGTATCCTTTGATGGTTTGCTTGTCTTTTCCAGGTGCTTTGGTGGTAGAAAGGGCCCAGAGCCGGCCACCCATCACCAACCAGGCCCCAGGTCCCAGAGCAGAAGCGCCCACTGGAGGTCTTTCCGTCTCGGCTCAGCAGAGACAGAGCACGTTGGCTCAGCTCCAGATGCATGTATATATTATATATATATATATATTATATATATATATATATATATATATATATATACAGTGTATATACATATATTTCTATATATTCATCACACTCTGTAGTTTTGGCACCGTGACAAGTGAACTTGTTTTGAGACAGTGAAATATAAAAACACAAAGCCATTGCTCGAGTCAATTTTGTGAAATCGTCCTTTATGCTTTTTGCTACTGAATATTACGCGTTTATTTGTCATCTACTCTATTAAATAGAATGGAATTGACTGTTATTCCTCTGTCCAAGGTGGATAAGCTTGCCCAGCAGCCCACCAACAGACAGCCCCCCCCTAACCACTGGTCCTGGTACCAAAATGTCAGGGTCCCAGGACACCCCGGCCCTCCACCCCCAACCAGACCCGCCCACGGAGGGTCCCCGTCCTCCCAAGGCCCTCCAAGCTTGGGACAACCGGGGCGCAGATACGGAAGCTCCTACCCCAACCCTAGAAGCCCCACTTCATCCATGCTCCACAACCCAGGATTCCCAGCTGCTCAGGTAGGTTAGTGCCAGTAGAAAGATAAGAGTGTGCAAACATGTGTGTGTGTGTGAGGCTCGTCACATGGAGCGTTATATGGTGAACAGACAAAGTTTAAATGACCAGGAAATACATCACGTTCCCATCACTAGTCTTGTCTTCAGCCCACTTCATGTTTTGTAATCGCACTAGTTTCATTGACGTGAATGTTGCTATATCAGTTTTGATAAAACGTTAACTTATGACAGTGGGGTGAATCAAGTTGTTTGTTCTATTAGATTATATTTATCTCGCTTCTTGTATCAGGACTTCATTCTTAAAAAACATTTTATTTTATTCTCACTGTGTGATAATAGCAGAATGGTGTTACTGTTAACCGTTTACCGTGTTCAATCAGGGAAAGTCGCTTAAAATGTATCCGAAATGTATTATTTTTAAAACCTACCCACCTTTAAACTTCATTTCAACTTCAATTCTTTTCTACATCTAGTCTCTGAGAGATCTGATCCATAGCTCCAGCTTCCCCCCTAAACCCATGGATGTGTTGCAGGGTACGTCCCGCTACCCGCAGCCCCTCTCTGCTGGAGCAGCAACACAGATGTCACTACAACAGGTTGGTAGGAGAACGTCTCCAGTCTCTCATGATCCCAGAGAGAAAGTGCTGTTTAGGTAATTACACCCTGTTCTTGTTCCCTAAAGCGGGGCCTAACGGAGTCCTCCTTCCTGAAGAGGAGTGAGTCTGGTGGATCTGTCCCCTCCATCACCATCTCTATTCCCAAACCCAGCTTTGGTCCGAGTCTAGCTGCAGCAATTGCAGAAAAAACCAACGCGTTTAATCACACAGCAGGTCATTATCGCTGCTCTGATTCAACAACAGCCCCAAAGATCTTATCCTGTGTGAAAATTAGTCTTTAAATATTAGGACGACTTCCAAACCCTTTAAACATTTATTTTCCTCTTCTCTCAAGTTCAAGCACGGCAGAACTCCCCAATGGCCAAACCGTCTTCCTCAGACAGAGGCACAGGGTAAGAAAAGATCCTAAAATATGTCGTCCTCATCACAGTTCCTCCCATCTTTAGATTATTCCTGAACTTTTTCCCTCATGTTGTTTTGAGTCTGTGCCTGTTGCCTAGATGGATGCGTGGGAAGTGCTACTTGCTGCTTTTGATAGTTGATTAAACGTCTACGCACAACGCTGAAATGACATCAAATGATGTCATGTTTTCACAGCAGTTGTCTGTAATCAGCCTTCAGTCTTACACTCCACTCCGTTGTTGTAGACTGCAATTGAATTGCTTCCCTAAAATATCATTTTTTTTAATTTATATCTTATATGTAAGCTATGTCCCTCTGTCATCACATTTATGTTGTCACTAAGCTGTCGTTCAAGAGATTCAGAGGACAAACTTCACTCTCTGATCTTCCAAACCAATTGGTGTAAGCCAGGCCTGTGTGTTTTTTCTCAACTATATCCTGGTCACAATCTTCCCTTCTCTCTCTCTCTCTCTCTTCGTTGAAGGACGACTTCCTGGAGGCAGAGCTCTGAGCCTCCATCGGCCCCATCTGCCCCCTCAGCCAAGCGACGACGGAGGTTGTCCCCGGGGCCCATCATCGTCATCAAGGACGAACCAGAGGACGAGGATGACGTTCGATTTGTAAGAGAACTACTGGGGCACGAGTCCACAATGTCCTGCTAAGTTTAGCTTCTTCAAATGCCAAATGCTCACTGTCCCACTGTCTGGGTTCTATTTCTCCGAGTCATTTTACTATAAAGCAAGGAATCGCGAGAACTGCTCATCTGGTCTATTTCACACTTGACGGGTGTCATGTTTCCGAAAGGGGCACTGCACCAGTGGTATCCAACTGCATGTATCCTACAGTTTAATTCGCCCTACAGGTGCAGTCCAGCGTCGGCTCCAGCCTGCCGGACAGCAGCACCGGGGCTCAGTCCAAGCCTCGGCAGCAGCTAAAGGTACCTGCACCAGTCCCGGAGGCCGGAGCGGAGTCCAGCAGAGAGGTCAAAGAGCAGCATCCGCAGCCCACAGCGCAGCCCGAGTCCGAAAAGAGAGCGGAGCCGGAGGAGGACCCTAACGAGGACTGGTGCGCCGTCTGTCAGAACGGGGGGGAGCTGCTCTGTTGCGACAAGTGTCCCAAAGTCTTTCATCTGGCCTGCCACATTCCCGCTCTGAATGAGTCCCCCAGGTGAGAGACGCGTATCTCAAAACCAATGAAGCTTCTAAGTATTCGGCTCAAAGAACTTTACTTTTCATAACGAGGCAATTTAGGCCTTCAAACACATTGTCACTGCGGTCTATCAGCAATCTATTGTTTTAGGGTGATGACATCACAAAATCTAAAGCTTCTGTCGAAAACCTCAATAAAAGCTTTGAATGTTTACAAAAAAGGACATTTGGTCCAGCCCAATAAAAATTATTTAAATTTCTTGCAGACAGTTATTTTAGAGGTCTTACTGTTTTTAAATAGCGTGAACAAATATATTATTTTACAGCTGCAATATTTGTGATATTGAAGGTTTTGTTACTGAGGGTCGTACATCTGAAAAAACACAGTAAACAAATTAAGGACAATATTTAACCAAAAACAGTTTTTATAGGACTTTTTATGATATTTTACTGCAATTCTTGCATTTGCCTGTCGTCAGACTCGAACGGTACTTCTCCAGGTTTTACTATGTTAGAAATTGACAGATGATCCAAAATGTACATTGATGATGGGGACTCTGATGAACCTGTTCTCCAGGTCTTTTCGACGACTAACCCTGGGCGTTCTGATATGATCATATTCAGCAGCAGTTTGCCGACCCATGCATGAGTCCTAACAGCTTCTCCTGTCCTGATGTCTCTCCACAGTGGGGAGTGGTTCTGTTCGCTCTGCCGGGACCTCGACTCTCCTGAGATGGAGTACGACTGTGACAGCAAGGATGACCCTGTCTCTGAGTGCTTCCCACCTATTGGAAGAAGGGTACGCTCACGCAGCTGTTTTTTTTAGTTTCTGTGCATGATATTCTTCATTACTTAAGCCTTGTCGTTCTGCTTTTATAGTCCTTCTCACTGTTTTCCATCCAAGTCTCAGCCTCTTGAGGGAGACAATTTCCTCCCCATAACCCGATCACTTAAATGTTTGATCGAATGCTTCCTCTTCTTCTAACATGCAGAGGTGTGAGAGGCTGCTCCTACGTCTGTTCTGCAATGACTTCAGCACAGACTTCCAGCAGGCTGCTTCTCCATCAGTAAGTTTTTATGTGAATAAATGAAAGGCTGCGCTGTTTTCTTGCTGATACTTACCGTAATAGATGGGATTTCAACAATAGTGAAGTTGCCTACTTCAGTAAAGGTGAAATTTCTTGCTACCAGAATCCAGCATACATTTGTTAAAATTGACTTGTAGTTGTGTTCAGTATAAAACAATGTGTCTGAAAGTGGGTATTTTTTAGAGAGGAAATAGGATTGTCGTATCAGTTGTATTAGGTGCTTGAATTGTTTTTGCTTTTTTTTATGTAGGAGACAAAGCGGTACAAAGAGCTGATCAAGACCCCGATGGATTTGTCGATTGTCAAGAAGAAACTGGAGTCGAAGTCGCAGGAGGGAGACGGTTATAACGGTCCGGAGGGGTTCGTCACAGATGTCCGGCTCATATTTTTCAACTGTGCAAAGTACTACAAGGTAAACATCACTCTGTATGAGTTATCTGCAAAATAATTGTCGTATAATAAAGTACATACTTTCATTCCTGTTTCTGTGCACTGATCGTACAGGCGACCTCCGAAGTGGGGAGCGCAGGCTTGTACCTGGAGGACTACTTTGAGGAGCAGTTGAAACTGGTCTACCCAGATACGCTGTTCCCCGGAGGGAGGGAAGAACAGATGATCCCTCCCCTGGAGGAGGAGATAGACGAAGAGGAAGAGATGGCGGCGGAGGAAACGGCTCCCGTTGAAGACGACAAACCACGAAGTCCCGCGGGAAACGGGATCCCGCCTGTGGAGGACGACTTGCCGCCTCTGGAGGACGGCTTGCCGCCTGTGGAGGACGACTTGCCGCCTCTGGAGGACGGCTTGCCGCCTGTGGAGGACGACTTGCCGCCTCTGGAGGACGGCTTGCCGCCTCTGGAGGACGGCTTGCCGCCTCTGGAAGAAGCAGCGGCCCCTGCGGAGGAAGAAAGGTCCGAAACAGAGGAGAAGGCGGTCGACGCGAGTGAAGAGGGGGCGGACGACAAGGTAGCAGCCGCTGAGGGGGACACGCCTCCCACAGACGAGGCGGAGCAGGACGAGGAGAGTCCTGCGAAGGAAGCGGAAAGCTCTCCAGCTGCTGATGGTGAAACAAAAGAATCGGAGCCTCCCAAATCCCCAAAGGAGGAGAGCCCTGAGCTCCCCACAGACACGGCTGTGGATCCGCCCGAAACCCAGGAGGAGTCGGCTCCTGCAGACTCAGCTAAAGAGGAGGAGGAGGAGGGATAGATCACGGCAGAGAGAGATGCTGTTGACAAGATAGATGATTTCAGTCTTCCGCAGAAGTGGCCCCAGTGGGGACCGACATTTGCTGCAATCAGACATTTCGCAATCGCAATTCTTTTGTAATATGTTACATTTGCAATAGGAAAAAAGGTACTGCTATGCTAAATGGACTTATTTAGTAGCAGTCATGCAGTAGAGGCACAATGAAGGGAGTAAATGAGCTTTTTTCGCTGGACAGAGGTTACAATTTTACTGTAACATAGGTTGTTATTTTCTGTAATGACAAAACTGAAAAGCATACAAAAATGGTTTTCTTAGTCATGAGATCATTTGTAAGTCAACATCATCAAATTGGGAAAGGATTTTGGATTAGTCACGCATGCAAGACGTCTACGTCTCGATGTAAATAGCAATGCCTCCATTTTAGTGTTTATAGACCTTGGCTGTCTTGCACTAGCCATTGGGCTCATTAATAAATGACGTTTTATTGCGTTTTATTATATATTTTTTATTTTGTTAGTATTGTATTAAAGGATGTAAAAGTGGGATTTTTTTTTTTTTAAGTGTGCTGCTTGGTTGTTTTAGAACAAAATGTTTAATCTCAACAATGTTTTATGGTGAAGCAGACTTGTTTGTTTTTTATCAGGAGAACAATTCTTCAGACTTTACTGCACTCTTAGATAATTCAGAGACATGATTATAACCTTCTAATCATCAGTGTGTGTTCTCCAAATTGTGTCCTTGCTCTTCTGCAGCATGATTTCTTTTACATAAGATTAGGCCTACGCCTTGTTGTTTAGCTGGTTTCCCTCACTGAAAGCAATGAAAGTGTGCAATTAGACCCACAGAACTAAAAAAGGTTCAGTTACCTCAACCTTTCTGGAACTTACATGACGTCAAACTGACACTTCAACTTCAGTATCGATAACTTTGTCTAATATTGACACTTTTATTATTTATTGAGGATACACAGGAGCTGTAAAGAACTCTACAAACAATGTTATTACCTGCATTTACAATATTTGTAATAAACAGGGTGAAATAAAGATCTTACTTGTTCTTTGCTCTCACTGTCATCTTTATTCTGTTTATTTTTATTTCATTCTTTGAGATAATGGAAGATGCTGCACCTTGAAAAAAAGCTGAGGTTCTTAAACCTTCACAAGTGCTTGCAAGATTACTTTGAGGGGCCACGAGCTGAAAATTAAAATGGAATATATATATATATTTTTTATTTTACTAACCCTCTAACTTCAGAAGCTCTGTGCTCTGAGGAGGGTGGGTGCATGCACGAGAGCAGCCTTCCAGGAAGTGTTTTACGGGCTGACACGCCCCCTCATTGTTAATCAGTTATTTGATTGGACGCTGCAGCCGATTGGATTGTTCTCAACATCACTGGAGTTTCATACCAGACTGAAGACGGATCACAGATTAAAGTCAAGTTTTATATTTGATTAGTTTTCTGATTCACCATCTGGATAAAATAAATGTTCATTGCAGTCTGAACAACAAAAGGACCACAAACAACTTTCTTCATTTATTAGAAAGATTTGTCTTTTCATGATATGTTATTTCCCTCAATAACTTGTATTATGGATGCAATTAAAGCCAGAGAGAGCTGGAGAGACGAAACACTTTTTACATCATTTATCATTATTTCAATTCAGCCACGTGAGGCTGAACTCCTTCCTGTCGGGTTTGAAGTTATGTCATTTCAATTTCCTCCAAAAATATAGAGCCTGACAAATTAATTCCAGTGTTCAAGAGATGCTGGGTTATTTAATAATGACTTCACAATCAGAATTTCCAAAAACAGACAGACGCAATTAAATAATTAATGAATAAATGAGACAAACGCATTCCGCCGGTAGGACACAGAACATAGTAAAAACTCAATGCAAAAACATCCCCACCCTGGCAGTGATGGTAACTGTGTCTTCATTAGTAGAAGTGCAGTTCACCTGTGTGCAGACATAAAAGTCTCTCCAGCTGTTGAAGCCGACTGACAGCTGATCCAGATGTGATCAGCGGCCGCAGTCATCACAAACAAGAGTCGCTTCACGTGACGCTGCACAGTGGAGAGGCCGTCTCATTTCTCTTCAAAACGTATTTCCTCGTTTCCTCTCTGTGGATGCGTTGAAGAGATTTGGGATGTACCCACAACAGGTCCGCCCTCACCGCCCCCTAATCTCTAACCCCACAAGTCGAGGCCGGAGTCGCCTCTCCTGCCACTCTGACTGAGATGTTCTCCTTCTTGACGGGACACTTTCACAGAGGAGACACACACACACACACACGCGCGCACACACACACACACACACACCGTCCACTGCTGCCGTTCGGCCGCCAATCATCCCGGTAATTTCAAACAACAGCTGTGACATTAAGACGATCAGTGAGGGAAACATCTGCTATGGCACAGTGGACAATACTTCTGTTTTCTTTATACGGAGCTCTGCATGGACAAGGTAGGACGCACAGCTACATTTTGGCATTGAAATGCCGAATTTTAGTCTTTGTTAGTGGTTTGAACAACTTTAATACACTATTGATTTTGGGGGCATATTATACCCTTACGTGAGGTATTGCGTGGTAATATTTTCCAATACTAAGTACCAATTTAATTAAATCTGATTCAGTCACTGTCACCCGCAGCTGTGTTATTTTTCCATGCCTCTGCTCTGTATTTAATCCTCAGTGAATGGGTTTTCTACTGAACACGAGTGCTGTCAGGATGGGAAGGACCTGGCCCTGGACAGGCAAGACTGTACAGACCTCCCCCTCATCTCCTCCCCCTCCGACACCTGCAAGTAAGCAACACCTGGTTTCACAAAAGAGAGGGTCTCAGGATGCGACCCCAGGGACCAAGGACGGGGCAGTACAGAGGGAATGCATGACGTTTGTTGTGTTTATCCATCAAAAAATGTCCAGAGGTTACAAATATGTATCACATTGGCCTCTTCAAATGAGTGTGTCATTTTCCTGTGGGAAATGTGTGTGTCCTGTAAGCCACAGGAGAGGATTGCCACATCTAGTGTTGTGGCAATTTATCAGTATGTTCTTCTTTCGATGTAACTTGTACCGCTTAACTCTGAACGTTGTGTCCATGTAGACAAACAGTCAAGGCCTGGCACCCAGCCTTGACATCTTAGCTCCTTCCGAAGAGGGAGTACGCTTGCGAGGGGGGGGGGGGGGTTCGAGATAATGTGCAGAACAATACATTCAGTTTGTATGAAACATACTCTGCAGAAGCTGAGACTTGTTGTCAGACCTCCGAACCCTCTGTGGGGAAAGGGCTCTGACCTTTCAGCTGAATTATTCTAAGTGCCTGTTCAATAAAATACTTAAAGACATTTGAGAGTTTTCTCATTACGTTTATTTCTCACAGTATACCACACATAGTAACTACACAGTAAGGACGGGCGTTAAGTGGCCCCCTGGAGCATTTTTAACACTAAAGGGCCCTGATTGACTGTAAGAACATGGAGGGTGTGATTGATGAAATAGAGGAACACCTGGTCGACACATGGCGGTCAGTAGAGGGAACATTTGGAGAGGAAAAAAGTAGCTGCTGACCATTACAATGTCTTTTAAACTAAGGTGGGTTACTGAGAAAGGATGCAGTTTCTCTTCTGGATGAATTAAATGTGTGCCGTTTTTTTTACAGGATCACCCAGGAGCAGTGCTGTGCAGCAGCAGTAGGAGACCGACTTTGTGACAATGGCATCGAGATGGCCACGTATCAAGGGGCCTGTGAGAGGCCCTTCTTCCAAGGAGAATTCTGGGAAACCCAAATCTCTAAGGTTATCTCCTCCCTGATGTCAATGTCTTCAACGTTTACGCGTCTTTTCATTCTTGCACACACAAACAAGACACCTAAAAAATCGACACCTAGATTTTCTGACAATATCACTTGAGAGATAAGATTCCTTCTTTTTCAGCTGCCTCTCTTCCTGCTTCACCCTCCCTGTCTCCTGTTCAGATGTGCTGTGACTGCTGTGTGATCGGCCTGATCACAGCGAGCCAGGGTTCCAGCTGCGAGTTCCAGGGGTTGTTGATGGACAGAAAGTGTTCGTACACAGCTAAAGCCTGCTGCGACAACAGCACAGCAGTAGAAACTCAACCCGATAGAAATGGTAGGAGATGTAACCAATGTTGTGCTTTGAGTCTTCAGTGTCTTGATTGGCTCCACTCTGTCTCATCGAGACAGAATGGCTACTGGCGGTCTGTGACATTCAAAACAATCGGTATACTCGGCCATCTGCACACATTAGAGGTGCCAAGTGATTTACAGCACAATATCATTTGGTGCCACTTAATAAGGGCTTTATAACCTTTTTATTAATGGTTTATAAAGTTCCTTAATACTTCATAAGAAAAATACAAGCCATTAATAAGAACAATCTTTAGATGTAAAATCTCATATTGACCCATGAGACCATTTATTTTTAGAAAAAGGCTTCAGATGATCTAGAACAAAATCCAGTTATTTTTTTGTTTGTTTTAAATTTAAAACAAAAAGTCCCAGCAGGGCTATTCACCGGGCTAATCTGTAGACACCTTGCCAAATGGTAACTCAGGGCCAACCGGTGTTGTGGCTTGTAGCTTTTGTCGCCTAGCTGGCTTCAGGTGAAAAACTCAAAACATGTTGGCAAGGACAGAGCTGCAAAAACACTCGATTTGAGTTAAAAGCAAAAGTGTCTTGCTGATGTAGATTGAAGGCCAAATCTCAACAATGTTTTATGGTGAAGCAGACTTGTTTGTTTTTTATCAGGAGAACAATTCTTCAGACTTTACTGCACTCTTAGATAATTCAGAGACATGATTATAACCTTCTAATCATCAGTGTGTGTTCTCCAAATTGTGTCCTTGCTCTTCTGCAGCATGATTTCTTTTACATAAGATTAGGCCTACGCCTTGTTGTTTAGCTGGTTTCCCTCACTGAAAGCAATGAAAGTGTGCAATTAGACCCACAGAACTAAAAAAGGTTCAGTTACCTCAACCTTTCTGGAACTCACATGACGTCAAACTGACACTTCAACTTCAGTATCGATAACTTTGTCCAATATTGACACTTTTATTATTTATTGAGGATACACAGGAGCTGTAAAGAACTCTACAAACAATGTTATTACCTGCATTTACAGTAATCGTAATATAGAGGGTTAAATGTAGATGGTAGTTGTTCTTTGCTCCCGCTGGCATCTTTATTTTGTTGTTGTTCTTTTATTTATTCTTTGAGATAATGTTAGATGCTACACCCTGAAAAGTTGAGGTTCTCAAACAGTGGTCTGAATCCCCACAAGGGGTCGCAAGATTACTCTGAGGGGCCTCAGGCTGATTAACAGAAGATGAAAAGAGAAAACCAAAACATTTAAGTTGTACAAAGTGATGCTATTTCTTTTATACTAACCCTCTAACTTCAGTTTATTTTAAATTCATAAATTACTTGATGCTTTTGCATTTTATGACTTCTAAATAAGAAACGACTTCAAATTTAAACCAAACCTCTTTCAAAAAACAAATCATTATTAAATTAAAAAAGAGTTCACAAAATGATTTTTGTATGAGTCTGTATGAGTTTTCTCTTGTTTTATCCAACTTTTCTTAAATTCATCTGTGTTATTTCACTTTTAATCTGTCAACATCCACTTTGGAATCTCTTAGTGTTGGCGCATTGTTGCGTCAAATAAATCCAAATATCGTCCACGTTTGAATAATTCAGGAGCCCTGACGGCTAAACACAGGTCCGCCCTCACCGCCCCCTAGTTCTGCATGGACAAAGTAGGATGCACTGCAAAATTTTGGCATTGAAATGCCGAATGTTAGTCTTTGTTAGTGGTTGGAACAACTTTAATACACTATTAATTTTGGGGGCATATTATATCCTTATGTGAGGTACTGCGTGGTAATATTTTCCAATACTGTCCGTCTATCTGAGAGTGTGAGCCCAATTTAATTAAATCAGATTTAGTAACTGGCTATTGGGGGCAGCTGTGCTATTTTTCCATCATGCCTCTGCTGTGTATTTCATCCTCAGAGAATCAGCTTCCTATTGAACACGAGTGCTGTCAGAATGGGAAGGACTGGGCCCAGGAAAGACATGACTGTACATACCTCCCCGTCATCTCCTCCTCCTCCCACAGCTGCAGGTAAGCAACACCTGGTTTCACAAAAGAGAGGGTCTCAGGATGCGACTCGGGGACCAAGGACGGGGCAGTACAGAGGGAATGCATGACGTTTGTTGTGCTTATTCTTCAAAAACTTTCCTCGGGGTTTTTCTCCACATGCTCTTTATACAGCTATTTCCTCATGGATCAAAGGATGCAGTTTCTCTTCTGGATGAGCTAAATGTGTGCCGTTTATTTACAGGCTCACCCAGGAGCAGTGCTGTGCAGCAGCAGTAGGAGACCGACTCTGTGACAATGGCATCGAGGTAGCCAAGGGGCAAAGTGCCTGTTTCATGTCCTTCTTCCGAGGAGAATTCTGGGAAACCCAAATCTCTAAGGTTAACTCCTCCCTGATGTCAATGTCTTCAACCTTTACACGTCTTTTCATTCTTGCGTGCAATAAATGAACACCTAGTTTTTTACTATATAACATTAGAGATAAGATTCCTTCTTTATCAGCTGCCTCTCTTCCCGTTTCACCCTCCCTGTCTCCTGTTCAGATGTGCTGTGACTGCTGTGTGATCGGCCTGATCACACTGAACAAGGGCTCCAGCTGCGAGTTCCAGGGGTTGTTGATGGACAGAAAGTGTTCGTACACAGCTAAAGCCTGCTGCGACAACAGCACAGCAGTAGAAACTGAACCCAATACAAATGGTAAGAGATGTAACCAATGTTGTGCTTTCAGTCTTCAGTGTCTTGATTGGCTCCACTCTGTCTCATCTAGACAGAATGGCTACTGGCGGTCTGTGACACTCAAAACAATCTGTATACTCGGCCATCTGCACACATTAGAGGTGCCAAGTGATTTACAGCACAATATCATTTGGTGCCACTTAATAAGGGCTTTATAACCTTTTTATTAATGGTTTATAAAGTTCCTTAATACTTTATAGAAGAAAAATACAAGCCATTAATAAGAACAATCTTTGTATAGGATCTAAAATCTAATCTTGACTTGTGAATCCCCTCTTATTAACTACAGACTTTATAAAGGCTTTTTAGAAATTGGGGAACCCATGACCATTTGTCAGTGGATTACCAACATTTATAACTGCTCTATTGTGAAATAGAAAGGATAAACACCAGCCAAAGAGATTAAAAAAAATCTGGTAACCTGACATTTGTTCAACACAACCACTGCCAGTTCGGATGGATATTCGGATGTGCTATGCTACACCCTCAGAATTTTTAAAAATGTAAAGCAAAAAGTCCCAACAGATGTTGACTCATGTGACATCGCTTGAGGCAATTCATCAGATTTCATGCAGGTCCCTCTAGAGCCACAAAAGCTTTTATACAACGTTTTCACACATGCAGTAGTTCTCCCCAAGACCTGGAGTTCTCTCCTTCAGTGACAAGCCCTGTCTTAAGGGTAGCTTATTTGTTCGGGTAAAAGGAGACAGTTTTCAGAAGGACTGCGTCACATCAATCCAGGCAGCGTTACTGGGAGCACAGACAGCAGCCCTGTTGTGTAGTAAACTGGACAATGGCCTTGATGTGGAAGCCATGGAGCGGATCACTACCAGAGAGGCAGACAGACTGGGTAACAGGGGTATTCACCGGGCTAATCTGTAGACACCTTGACAAATGGTAACTCGGGACCAACTGGTGTTGTGACTTGTAGCTTTTGTCGCCAAGCTGGTGAAAAACCCAAAACATGTTGGCAAGGACAGAGCTGCAAAAACACTCGATTTCAATTAAAAGCAAAAGTGTCTTGCTGATGTAGATTGAAGGCCAAAGCAATGAGAGCATGCCAATGGGAAGGCTACAGAGCTTTGTGGAGTTCCAATGAGTGATGAGGTGCTGAAGTGTTTCACCCTGTGCTTGCTATTCAGGGAATTTCATTTTAATGAGGCCTTTTCTTCCATAGCACCAGTGACAGTAATGCCTCAGGCCAACACTACGGCCGAGCCTCAGGGGGGATCGGACCCCTGTACAGGTTTGCCACCTTCATTTCTTAATGTGATCTTTATTGTCATAAGAAGAGATGTAAGAGGTTTAGGCACCCGCCTCTTGATGGCGTTGCCTATCATCAGCCAGTGACATGATTCCTGTGATGTAGGACTCACACTGTATACAGCGATGTCTACTTCTTCATGTGTGTCTCTGCTGTTTTCAGACTCCAAATGCTCCCACTTGTGTGATGGTTACGGTATGTGTGCGTGCCTTGGTGGTTATCAACTGCAAGAGGATGGAGTGAATTGTGAAGGTGAGTAATGTAAATGAAAGCGTTGCTATAATTGCCTACTTCTTAAAGTAGCCCTTCTAAGCAGCATGGCTCTGGGGATGGCAACGTCAGTGTGCCAGTCTGTTGGTCGGCCTAGACTAAAATATCTCAACAACCATTAGATGGATTGTCGTGAAATTCTTCATTCATAGCCCCCTACCGGATGGAGTGTGATCCCTTCATGTATTATTTAGTGCCGACAGCAGGTTAGGAATTAAATTGGTTCAATACACTTTGACAAAATACCTGCAAAACTAATGAAGTTCCCATCAGCCACTGTAAAAGTTAGCATGCTAACATGATATACTCACATGGTGAACATGGTAAACATCATACCTGCTAAATGTGAGCATGTTGGCATTATCATTGTGAACATGTTAGCATGCAAACATGAGCATAAGCTGTGCTTTTCAACACCCACACAACTAGTTTTCCAGAAAGCGATTGACTGTGGGTTCCAATACCCATTCCACCATGCTATCTAGTATGCCAAAAGATTTAAGCTGCATTTCCAAATCACGTACTTCTTCTTTTGAATTTTAGTACATACTGCAGCTGCTCTCACAAAGTACGTACTGTTGCATGCAGTATGAATTCAGTTGTGACATATACTACTTCCTCATAACATGGCACCTTGAACTTTGACCCTCTTGCTTATATGTCTGCTGCACAAAGGATTGTGGGTTAGAATAGCCAAAACAGCATACTGGCTTAAACACTGCAAAATGTGATCGGATGTAGTCGAACATTCTGGTGCTTTCAACATACTGCCTTTGACATGTATTGGGGCATCCTAAATCTTTTTCTGGCATACTAGGTTGTATGGTAGTGTGGATATTTGAAAGCACATTTAGTGTGTCCTAATACATAGCATGTCAAATGCAGTATCCTAAAAATGATGCTCTACTACATCCCATCCACTGACAATGCTTTACTATGCGGATAGACTGCTCTTCTTGTTTTTCATTGGATGTCTCTCTCCTCAGATGTTGATGAGTGCCTGACTGGCAGTCACAACTGCGTCTTTGGCCAAGTTTGCATTAACATGCTGGGTTCCTTCCAATGTCAGACGAAAACCAGCTGTAACACCGGGTATGAACTCAAAGACTACAAAAAATGCCAAGGTAACAATCCTGCAATTTTAGTTTAAGGTAAAATAGCCATCACATGTCCAATGGCCTACAGTATTTCATGTCAATAAAAATATTTATGCTTTCTTCATCTTTTCCTCCGTGCCTGTTCCAGACATAGATGAGTGTACTTTGGGGACACATAACTGTGGACCAAACGTTTTGTGCACCAACACACAAGGCTCGTTTTACTGCTCCCAAAAGAGGAGGTGCTCAGGCGGTTTTATTCAGGACGCCGTCGGCAGCTGTATCGGTAAGCTTAGTGTCACACTCAGGTAAAAACAATCCCTGGGTAAACGTTAAGCTGGCTTTGCTTTATGTGTTTCCTCATTAGATGTAAATGAGTGTGTGGCCCATACCAGTACCTGCCTGCCTGGCCAGACTTGTATGAACACAGTGGGCTCCTACACTTGTCTAAGGAACACATACACCTGTGGACGAGGCTATCATCTAACTCAGGACGGCACGCTTTGTGAAGGTGAATACTGTCACAATAAATTATGTCCTGTGTTTAAAGTATTTTGTTTGCGGCCAGAAATCATTATAAGTCACCTTAATTTCCCTTTGTCAGACATGTAACTTCTCCCCTTCATGTTTTACAGATGTGGATGAGTGTCGTACAGGGAATGTGTGTGGCGGCCATGTTTGTGTCAACCTGGTGGGCACGTACCGCTGTGAATGCAGAATTGGCTTCTTCCGCAACAGTATAACCAAACGGTGTGAAGGTGCAGTACAAACTCATCACATTTTTTTTTGTTATTGCATCATTGGTAATATGTTGTGCATATCAGCTGTGAAATTAAATATTGTTTACGGTGAATAAATTCAAGTGAGTAGAGGAGAAAGAAGTGTCACGAGACAAGTGGAAAGTGGAAGTCAGTTCTGACTCTCAGATTCATGGTCTGTCCCCCGTGTTCTCAAGATATCAATGAGTGCAGGCATTATTCCGGACGACTCTGCGCCCACATGTGTGACAACACACAGGGGTCTTACCAGTGCAGCTGCGCCACTGGCTTCAAACTGTCCCACGACGGCAGAAGCTGTGACGGTAAAATCACTCCTCATTTCATGGATTCATTCAGGCTCATTATGTTGTGGATGAGCGACCTCTCAGCTTCATGTAATTCCCATTGCATCATAGACTTGGTCTTGTTTGAATCCTCATGCGACACATTTTGAGGTCTGATTCTGTGCCTGTGTGCCGACAGATGTCAATGAGTGTGCAGCCAAGCCTTGCAGCCAGTCGTGTTCAAATACCCATGGCTCGTACCAGTGCTACTGTCGCCGTGGTTACCAGCTGAGTGACATCGATGGGATAACGTGTGAAGGTGCTTGTTGGCCTTCATGGTGCTTCATGATGTTGCAAATCAACCCACGGATGTGATCACATGTCACATAAACACATCACTGAGTATTTCTAATGACCTTTTACTGTCTGTTACTCTCAGATATTGATGAGTGTGCTCTGCCTGCTGGACGTCATGGGTGTTCCTACAGCTGCACCAACGCCCCAGGAAGTTTTTACTGTACCTGCCCACCCACAGGCTACACCACCACACAAAATGGACACACATGCCAAGGTAATTTAGACAAAACATTTGGTTCCATTGCCATTAAAACAAGTGGAGGAGTGTTGTTTTTTATTTAATGTCTAACCTTTGCTTCCCCCCTGTGTTTTTAGACATTGATGAATGTGCAGTCGGGACCCATACCTGTTCTGTCTCTGAAACCTGCTTCAACATCTTGGGAGGATTTCGCTGTCTGTCCTTGGCATGTCCTCAAAGCTTCCGGAAAGCAGGGCACGGGTGAGTGTTGATGGCTACTTGTTCATGACGGGCTGTTTGAATGAAAGGGTTGATTGTCCCCAGCTGAGCATGATGCATCTTACTACTCTGTAGTGTAGTATTAAGACTCCGTCCTTCTCATTTTGCACACATTTCCTGTCATGCAGATTTGGGCTGCTTATGACATTTGCTTGTAGTTTACGGTCACAAAACTCTTTTCTCACTCTCCTACTTCCATCATTTACTCCCTCTCTTTGTTATTTTCCTCTTTTTATACCCCTGCCTGCAGCCGTTTCTGCCCTCCATCCAATGAGTATCTAATTTGTTTCCCCCTTTCAGCCGTTGTGAGCGAGTAACTTGCCAGTTCACGCAGGATCCTGCGTCGTGTCTCTTGCTCCCGCTGAGAATCTCCTTCTACAACATCAGCTTTACAACCAACACCCCCGCCTCCGCTGTTGTTTTCCGGATGGCACTCTCCAATTCCGTGCCGGGAGTCAAAATGCTGCTCAGCATAGTCTCCGGAGATGAGGAGGAATACTTTGTTGTGGAGCAGCATGCTCACGGAGGAGAGATCTCACTGCGCCGTACATTATCCCGACCGCAAGACTTTTTTCTGACCGTGGAGATGAGGCTGGTTCACTACGGGACATCACATCTGTATATGGCCAAGATTGCTGTGTTTGTCACACACAAGCAGTCCATCCAGCCCTCAGGAACATTTACATATTAGAAAACTGTGAAATTTAAAGGAATAGTTTGGAGTGTTTTTAAATCTATCTCTATTTTTCACTCACCACTCATGTATTATAAAGGTGGTTTTATATATATATATTATATATATTTTTCTTAATGCAGAAGTCAGAGCTCCAGCTTTCCTTCTACCCTTTGGCACAGTTAATAAGGGGCAAATCTATCATTCTTGTTGAGTGGAAAAACACTGATTCACACCAAACAAAAATGCTGCTAGAGCAGTCTGTTATGATGAATTTGAGTGGTTATTAAAGAAAAATCTATTTATTTGTATTGCTAAATTCTTCTCGGCATCCATCTGAGAATATTAGTATGGAACATGGTGTTAGAATGATTTACTTTACAGTGAATGATTGGTTATCGAAGCAACAAGTCGAAATTGTGAATTGAATTGCATTTGTATATGCAAAGTGGTCTTGGGGATGCATTTCTTGAAAACAATCTCTTGTTTTTCAGCTGTTTTCAACATTCAATGCCTTTTTTTGTTATTTATTCCAGCATATGGTGTAGCAGTAGATACAGAAGAATATTAGGACATGGTACCACTAGATGGGGCTCATTAGCTGTAACTCTACACTGTGACAGGATTGTTCATGTGCATTCATTTGCATGATGCAGCTCACTCTACCTCGTGTTTTTGCAGCAGCTTCCCTTTATGTGTACTTTCTATGTGTGTGGAATTAAAAAGTGACGGATAAAAATGACTTTTTACTCTTCGATGCTCAAGCACACACACACACACACACACACACACCGGCAATGGTTTCTGCCACTACTCTCGCACTTCCTCCGCTGTGGTAATTTCTAATGTTTTCCTATGATCTGTTCCAAGCTGCCTCACCGTAGGATGAAACAGGCCTCGCCTTAGCGGACAGAAAGAAAAATAAGCGTGGCACTTATTTATGGGCACCTGGGGCTCAGCCAGCATGGGGGCTCAATTAGTGGTGGCGCACCATTACAGCTCACATGATGGATAGTGCTTTTAGTGTTGGTATTGGGTGGTTATCAGTTGATTTGCTGTAAATGATACCAAAAGGCCAGTAGCTGTGTTGGTCAGCTGGATAAATGCAGCCAGACAAATTTTCCACTGTTCCATTTCCCTCCTGGTGGTTTTTGGGGGTTTAATGCATAGCGCTGATTGAAATTAAATATATGAGGTAATTATTCTCTTAAATCTTTGTGTCATATAACCACCCACTTTCCAAATGCTAAGTTGATTATTTCAAATATATAAAAATAGGGAAATGCTGTATGTAAAGATAATAGTATCTGTATGTGTCTTATTTTGGAGAGACACTATCGTTTGGAAATGCAATTATGCTTATTCCGCTGCAGATTCTGTCAAAGCTGTGGGTTTTTTGTCCACCATGCACTTCAGTGTGATGTCATTGATCACATCAAATGACATTCGGTCCTACTTACCCTCTCCTGGTTTACTACAATCCCGTCTTCCCTTCGTGGCATGAATACCACACAATCATGTCTGTGGCTTTGGGCAAAACAACTTGGACTCACCTGCTTGCTGCTAATTTCATGGCTCTGCTCCCTTTGCAGTTTTCAAGTTCATATATTGAAAGCGCTGATGTCTTCATGTCGGGGAGCCCCACAAACTTGATATTAGGTTGAGGGATCAGGGTTTGGCCTCCTTGTTAAGGCACCCTTTCGTCGGTTAACCATAGAGGTCTATGGTAGCTATTCAGGTGTTGCCAGGTTCTCCTGGCTCAACTCAGCCGTCAGGCTGTGGTCAACGTTTTTCTAATGAATACTGTTGTGTCCTGTGTAGGTTAAAGTTGTGAGAAACCCACACTTCTCCTTTTGTGTGCACTCCTCTTTCCTTGGCACATATGTTATACATCTCCATGTCCTCCCCGTTTTCTTCATCTTTCCATCTTGCCTGCTAACCATCACTTCTGTTTTTCTTTTTCCGATCCAGAAAAGATGCTTCAGGGAATGGGCGTTGTGTTAAGGTCTGCCAACCTAACAACGTCGGCTGCCGTCTCTCTCCCATCCACTTCCTCTCCCACATCTCCATCTCTCTGCCAACCTTCCATGGAGACTTCCGTGGACCACAAGGTAAGACAAGGTGGACGTACAGCAAGGCCTTAGTATGTGGAACCTCGATGGCCTCATTCACCAGCATTTACAATTGCACATGATAGTGTGCATGACGATCTATGGTGCATGAATATGTAGTAGCCCGTATCATATGATTTGGTTGATTCCCATAGTCCTTGATGGGGAATAACTTTTAATTGGTTGTAATAATGGAGTAAAAGTTACCTTGAGCAAAAGTTTGTGGACCTGGCAGATTCAACTGGTTAGTTAGATTACTGTGTCTGTAGTGAGCTACCACATTTGACACCTTCACTGTTCTATTAAAATGTATTTTGTGTCAAGGTTTCCAAGGGGAGCCTACATTCAACATTCAAAGTAAATCCAACATGAATCTTGAATGCAATTATTTACATAAAATATTCATGTTCAGTGTTTATTCTGATCACAGTTTTCAGCCTGGGGCGGAAAGGGTTAACTCAGTCGCTTCAAATTTGCAGCCTTATTGAAATTCAACTTTCCATCCACCAACCTGACACAGCGCATACGACTCAATTACTTTCAATTGTTTCAACCCACAGAACAATTGTTTTATTATATCATAAATATATGTGTGATATTATTTGAAGGACTAAATGCACTCTGTGGTTCGCTACTATCAGACTGCTACAAACTTTAAAACAATTCTTCCAACAGAAATAGTTTTCCTGCGGACAGTTGCAGTGGCTAACCCTGTTCCTGTACCCGGTGCCACCGATGTTTACTTTAACATCCTGGTTACAGATGACCAGTTCTCCTTTGATGTGATTCAGCGTTCCCACCAGGGCATGCTCGTGGGTAAGTGGAGAGAGCAGGCAATCAATCCTTTATGAAAGCCTTTATTAAATAGTATATACAGATGATTGCATGTACTCATAAGTCTCCAAAAATTGAGTCTTTGTCTTCTTTTAGGTGTGGTTCGTCAGGTGAAACCTATCTTTGGCCCCAGGGACCTTGAGTTGCAGGTGGCTATGAACTATTTCAAGTCAGGTGTTGTTTCCAAATGCAACATTTTCATCATCCAGGTCTTCATCTCTGAGTTCTGGTTCTGAGCTTATGAATTGAACGATACTACATTAGCTTTATACAGCACATAACTTGGAAAACGTTTTGAATATCTGGAGTCGCCCCACTTGCTGAACATTTAAAACCACTGTGTGTGCAAGATAAGATAAGTCATTGGATTTGGTCAATTTGCGAGTGTTTTTAGTTATAAAGTTACGGAAAAAAGTTAAAGAATCAGTTTCAGGTATTTATAATTTCAACACAATATATACAGATGAAACACGAACACGTTTACAAATGATGTATCTGTGAGGCTGTACTCAGGTACAGTGATGCTTTTTAAGTTACATGTTTTCATGTGTGATGTAGTATAATGTATTTTAATGTTAAAAATGTCAGCATGCTAACATGCTTGCAGTGACAATGCAAACATGCTAATGTTTAGCAGGTATAATACCATGAGAACCCTTTTAGTTTGGTGTGTTAGCATGCTAACATTTGCTAATTAGCCCTGAACATAACGCACAGGTGAGGTCATCAGTGTTTGGTCATAAACCAAAGTATTGGACAAAAAGAAAAGTTGACCTGATGGTGGCATTAGATTAAAAAGAAGTCTCCAAAGTATTAGGATATGTTCTGCGTAAACCATAAATGTCTATTATTGCCAGTCTATTTGATAGTTGTTGAGATGTTTCAGTTGGGGTGGACCGACTAACCATAAGAATTCACAGAGCCACGTCGCTAACATGGATAAAAAGTTATTTTTTATGCAACAAAATAGACTTGTCCCTCACTTGATACCTCTATTCCAGATGTGTTGAAAGTTACATGCCTTTTATAAGAGTGGAATAAATTGATCTTATGGATTAACAGGGCGCTTTCATCTCCTTAACCACTGTACCAGTTTAACTCGAATTTCAGACTTTGTTGTCACAAGTGCCATTATGAGATAGACCATTGGCTGACCTGTGAGACCAGATGTGACATGCTTCATTTGAGAATAAAATGCTTCATCTATGGACTTGCTTTCGACATTGATTGTGTACCATCAGACTAAGCGGCCATCTGTGAATAATAATCCTCTGTGCGGTTAATCGTGTTCATGTTTTTCACTGAGAAGAGCTTGATCCTCTGCCACTGCAGACTAAACCAACTGTCCTCTAGTTACTTTGCATAACTGAGGTTCCCAGAATAACAAAAAAAAAAAAATTATAGTATGTCTTGTTTTTCCTGTAATTCAAATCTGGTATGGTCTGATTTCCCATCACAACCATACCACTCCCAGTTTGCGAGGATATTTACAATTATTCAACTTAGAAGAATGAATTATGGGAATCCTTTACTGGGAATGTTTGGATCTTCAAATGCCTCATTTTAAAGCTGACAAATTGCTTGAGGTGGATAGCTCTCACTATCCATAATCAACCCTCTTTCCACATTGATCTGCCTTTCACCACCGCTGTGCTGTGCCTGGCCAGTGAAAACACAGGGGACAACCACGCGGCGGTAACTCCTATAATCTAAAATTCGCCACTTTACATGGAAATCCCAAAAGGCTTGTACTGTGGCTTTGCTGTTGCAGCTGCAACCATTGTCCCACAACTTATCTGGGCTCAATGTATTGATCTTCTGACCTGTAATCATTGCTTTACGTGAATGGATTTCAGATGCGAGTGCAGCTGCAGCTTACAGCCTGTACAGAACTTCTATCTCAGAAATGATTGGATGTTATACTGTGGGTCTAAGTATAGATACACAATAATACATGTAATGGGCGCTGCCTACTTGCCCAAATAACACTTTCAAACACTTTATCTTCGAGTCATGTTGGATATAGTCTGTGCATGAGGATAAATCTCAACAGACTATTAAATAAATTGTGTTTTTTTTTGCCAGAAAGAACTGAAAAGTTACTGATGCTCGAGGAGAACAGACACCAGCCAAAGGGATTGTTTATAACATAAAGTGTAGCTACATGGAGAAAGCAAGAAGCTTCTTATCACCCTAGTTTCTCTCAATAAATTACTATAACTCCAACATCAACCAAGATTTTAATATCATCTTTATTCAGAGTTCTCTCTTTAGTCTCTTTCTGTACTTTTGACACAGACAAATGACATGCATCCCCGTGCATCGCTCCAAGTGATTTGGAGCTGTGTGAAAACAGCAGCCAGCACATGCTCTGACTCCGCCTTCGCCCTGGATTGAACCAATAGCGTGCAGAGACTTATCCGGAAGTCTCGCCCAAACGAATTAGCTAAGCAGACAGGGAAACATGGCAGCTTCCACCGACAGCGACTTGGACATCTCGGCGTCTATCGCTGGCATCTTGAGTGAAGAACACTCCCCTGAACACTTGCAGGTCTTAAAAAAATTCACGGCTGCATTACGGGACAAGGAATACAGGTGCGGATAAAGGAATGCTTCTGCCTTTTTGGGAGGAAACGGAGGGTGTTAGCTTACCGGCTAAGCTATCCTGTTCATGCATTAGTCGGGCGTAACGGGTCCATTGGCTACTATTACGCAGGCTTGTTTCTTGTCCTCTCTGTGTGTATAAACAGAAAGGTGGGAGTTCATTAATTATAATAAAATAGCGCTTTAAAAAGGTTTGTAAAAACAAACAAAAGCAATTACAATACAAGCAAAAGGGATGTCATAACAGCAAGGAACAAAACATACATAACTAGCATCACAGGTTAAAAGCGGATTTAAATAGATTAATCTACAGATCTGCAATAAAGCCTTGTTCGTTATACTGACTTAATTATTTCAGCTGTTGCAAAAGACGACTGTCCCATCTTTCTGTGAATTCATTTCGAGTTCACAGAAAAAACACAGGTGTAACTAATTACTAATGATGGCGCAATACCACCAAGTATTGCATTGCATTGCAAACAGACAAAAAAACAGAGCTGTTCCTCCTAAGTTTCACTCCACATTTTCCTTGGGTACCACTGCAGTAAAGTACCTGTCCCTCCTGTTTTATAGTTGGTCAACTCTTTCTGCTCCCAGAGATGCTGTGGAGGAGGAGGCGTTCTCCAGTCTTCTGAAGGTCTTGTCCCGACTGCGTGATGAGCTTCTGGCTGTCAGCTGTGACGACCAGGACCTGCGGTCTGTGGCCCTGCAGCTGCAGCTGACCGCTGAGTGCTTCAGGGCTCAGAGGAACGCCTGTGTCCAGAGTACCCGCAACCAGAGTCTGCTCAGGTAATGGGATCAGTAGCTTGGATAGCATGAGACAGATGTAGGGACATCGCAAATTGTGTGGATGAATCAACACCTGTTTGAGACACAGTCTCAACAACAATTAAACTTTGTATAATGCAGAATTGTATTAGATTGCATTGTACTGTATGTGTTTGTGTCCATGTGCACCTTCTTTGACTAAATGAACATGCAAGGAAACGATTAAATATACACACTGATATATAATTGTCTTTTTCCTCAAGGGAGCTTGGTTTCATCGATGTATCTTTGAAACACATGAGCTTCCTTCAGACCACAGAGAGCAGAGATGGCATATTTGAACGTAAGTCTAAAATTCGGTAATTGTAATAACATTATTTTATTTTTTGATACTGAACTTAAAAAAACATTTAAATCATTCTCCATGTCCCCAGCTCTTCGTTGTGGGATCCAGTTCCTCGGTAACATGTCGGTCGGAAACCAAACGTGTAAAGATGACATTTGGCAGCAGAGCTTTCCAAATCTTCTCCTGTAAGTTTTGTGTTTTACCACACTAAGCAACACTGTTGCATACAATTGTTATAATTCACACTATGTTTATTGAGCATCCTGGTGGTTCATTGGGCAAGAACTAGCCTAGACTTAATACACATCATCCACATATCTGTCTCTTTCACCACATATATCCCTTCACTGTTGACACTAATGCACAGTCTGTACCAGTATTTATACTATTATATCAATAGTATTTATTTGTTCTCGCATTGAGTCAACCCAAACATGTGTGAACAGGCAGCTGCTCAGCGTTGATGATGAGAAGGCGGTAAGCTATGCCTCTATGGTACTCCACACATGTCTGGATGAAGCCAAGGTGGAAGAACTTTCTGATCCACAGAACATCCACCTGGCACTCAAGGTGATGGAGCTCTGTAGGACGCAGCCTGACCTGGACTGGACGTAAGAGTGTGTGTTTGCGTTGGTGTGTGTCAAGCAATTGTTAGTTTATATGTCGAAAGAGCTAACGGTGTATGTATCGTACCAAGAAATTACCAACTATTATCTCTGCTTGTTGTTGGTAAAGTTTTGATTTGGTATTTATTGATTTACAGGGTTCTCATTGCCACCCAGTATTTCCTCAAGTCTTCAGCTCTGGTGGAGAGCATGTACTCTGGGATGTCACACCATGAAAGGTACTTCACTTGATATAGTGACAGGCAGTAAATGTCACTGTAGACCAATCGGCCTCCTTAAATTACACAGAAACTGATCTTATAATAAACACCGCCCCAGCAAACCTCTAATAAAAGACTTTTAATAACAAGTTGTATGCAAGTTGATGAAAAGCTAATACTACCTAGTACACATAGAGAATACTGATTTCTAATACTAAAAGGTAAATGGATGTTTCATAGAGGTGTCTGTGTGCTTCAGAGTTACTCTATTAGAGCTGCTCTCTGCCCAGCTACAAGAGGAGGACTCGGAGGAGTGTGGCATCCCTTCCAACGTGGCTCGCTTCCTGGCTACTTCCTTCCAGGAAGGTTGTGGGGCTGTGCTGACACTCGCCACCGGCTCCGCTTCCAGTGATGAGGTACAGATAGTAAACCTGACTGATGCATGTAAACACAGAGAAGTGCCTCATGAAGTGTGTGACACGTGTGTTAACATTTAGAGAGTGTTTTTGTCCCCACCCTAATGTTATCTCACATCCAACATCCTTTCCCCATGTGACCAACATCTTGTTGTAATCCCCTGTAGGTCCTGCAGGAGGCGCTGACGGTGATTAGTCTGCTGGACGTGCTGTGTGAGATGACCTCAGACCACAGGCAGTTCATGTTCCTGCAGGACCATCCTGACCTTCTAGGGACTACTGTTGGTAAATGAAAACAAACACTCACACAACCTCTCTGACCGGATCCACAGTGTGAGTTTGTGAGTCCATTTTGGCCGTCTTAGGGTAAATATGTCATCTGTACACCGTAGACACTCCTTGAAATAGTGAAAGAACCAGATCTGTCATCAAATCACCCACAGAAAACAAATCAACACACAACCATGCCTCACGTTGACAAGCAATAAACACACAGCAAATAAGACTGACACAAATCACTTTATTGGTTACTAAAGCACCATGTCTTGTTTACATTTGTTGCGAAATTTAAATCCATACATTAAATAATAAGCTGTAACAGCTTGAATTTGAGATTGGGGTGGATTAAATATCTTGTTTGTACATCTCACACTCTTGTGTGCTCTCTCTGCAGAGCTCCTGCGGCAGGTGCATGCTGTAGGGAAGGCCAGTAAGAACATCTTCAGTGCTGCTCAGAGCTTCTCCTTCAGTGGAGACGGAGACCCTGCCTCCCAATCTCCTGTCATCAGCTTCAAGGCCCACCTCATCAGGCTGATAGGAAACCTCTGTTACAGCAATACCGACAACCAGAACAAGGTTTGGAATGAATGGATGGATGGCGGAAAGGAAGAAAAAGGGTGCTTCACACCTGTAGTTTGGTTGGGTCGAAAGGACTTACTGTATATTTGTGCAGTCATATACCTAATGTTAAACACACTGGACACTGACCACAAAGCCCTATTTACTGTAGTTAAAATGCACTGACGGCAGGTTTTCAGTTCTTTGGTCTACAAACGGGCACAAAACCAGCTCGTCTGCAGCTGTAAACTCACTGCTAACTCATATGTTGGAATGCTGGTGTTGGAAAGCACAGTTCCCAGTTCTACAATATGCCGTACTATAATTAATATCATATCCAGTATAGATATCTGCCCTTTAAAAAAACATGCCGGAAAATCTGCTTCTTCAAAATGACATTTTAACATTTAACCAAATTATGGTCCTCAAGAAGTTAAGGTCTGGAGAAAGTAAGGGTTTTAGAAAGATAAACTTCATAGAGTCCCTGAAATTAGATAATTCTTGGTTTGTATGTGTGTTCATCGGATTTTCTTTCTCTGGGATCTTGATCACTCTTAACACAATGGGGTCAAAGAGCGAGTGAGAGGCCCCCCTGGTCTTACTTCAACAGACCTTCACTAAATGTGCATGTTTACAATGCAGGTTCTAGTAACGGGCTGCTTTGTCAAACCACAGGATCTCCTGAGGACCCAAGGACAACCGAGGACTGGAAATGAGTGTAATGACTGCGAGCTTAGGAGTTCTTTCAACACAATTACTTGGTTTTGGACTGAAATGTGAAACATTTCCTCCCTCGCTTTGGTGATGTTATCGGTTTCCCTCCATCGCCATCTGTCAGCATCTCACTATTACCAGAAAGCACAGACAGATAATAAAGCGGGGTGCGGAGGAGTTGGCCTCTCTCTGTGGCACATTATAGACTCCGTTCTACTTAATAGAAACAGATCAGTGGAATGCTTGTGGGATGGCCACCCTCAGTTGGCCTCTCCAAATTATTTATGGATGCTGATCTGTGGTCTGTCAGTGGTCTGAAATCACCCCATATCTGTTTTCAGTAAGATCTCTTCCAGTAAACCAAATGTCGTTCTGTTCACCTTTGGGAAAGATTGCAATTTAAGATGCATGCAAAGCGTTTTACGGCGTGTACCGGACAGAAGTCAGGGCCCGGCCGCTTGTTATTCATCTCTTTATGGGTTTGGACGTAGTGTGTGCAACTTCAGAAAATCAGACCTGGGTGCTCGTAATGGTCAGCGACTTTGTTTCCTCAACAGTTTTAAATGAAAAAGTCTGAAAGTCAGCACTTTGTCTCGTTCCTGGAGCTCCCACAGGTATGTTTGGAGGGTAACCACAACGGCAAAGCAAAGGCAACAGCAAGCACAGACAACAATTAAGCCTATAGAATCAGACACATGATGCAAAGCAGATCGCCCTGTTGTGACGGCCTTAGACTAACCCACAACCACACTGCTGCTGCTGCATGTGAGGCTCTGCTAAGGACAGGCACATTTTTTCCTGTTTTTCACTACATAGAAAGCTTGAACATCAGAGTTGCGTAGCCAAAAACGAAACCTATTAATAATAAATTACCTATTGATTTGAAAATGCTATGAGAGTCTTTCAAACATTTTCCACATTTTGTTTTTCATAGATGTGATTTCAGGTTTTGTATTTTTTCCACTACAGAATGCCCTGATAAATTATGTAATATCATCACAAAGCAAATAGTGTATCCAGATACTACAGATTATTTATTTAGCTAAGGAAATTATCAGCAAAAGCATTATTACAGAACTGGTATTAAATTGTGGAGAACTATTTGAAAGATGTTCATTGATGTCAAACATTGAAAGTGAATGTTTCTCCTCAGGTGAGAGATCTGGAAGGCATCCCCCTCATCCTGGACAACTGCAACATAGACAGCAACAACCCATGTATCCTTTGTGAAGGTGATGGAAATAGTGACCCATCTGTGTTTATGTACCGGTACATATAATACAAGTTCATCTCAAATCATTGTTCATATTTATGTCCAGAAGTTATTTTAGTCTTTGTGTATCTTCTCCTGTCACTTTGAGTATTTGATATGGCATGCTTGCAGGCTGGTGGGTTTGCAACCAAACACAAGTGTTGTATTAAGCTTTGATTAAAACAGTGTGTGTGTAGACCGGCCGTGACATTTTCACACAGTGGTCACCACCGCTCAATAGATCTTTGCTCGCAGCTGGTTAACAGCGTCAACTGATCAGAAAGTTAAGTCAGTTCTTTGGTAACTATTAAGACCTTATTTGTGCTGTTGCATTAGATTGTACCGACTCTGTAGGGGAGGGAGTGTGTATATGATGAGCTTTTAGTGCCCTTTCTCACAACGACAGGCTTTGAGAACGAGCCAAATTCTGTTTTACTGAGTCGTCGTCATCTCCTGCTCCCGCTGGACATCCTGCTCCCGGTTGGTATTAGCTGGCTAAAGCTGGGGCAGTGTGCCAGATTGTCATTTATCCAGGGCAATAGTTTGAGTCCCGTCCCTTTGTCCCCGTGCCCCTCTCCCACTTCCACACATACAATCCACATCGTCCACCTTTTTTTTATGTAGGTGTCAGCATTTGTTTCTATACACAAGGCTGAAAAAGACTGTCAAAGAAACAAATATGTTTATGCGGGAAACTTGAGAGGGGCGAGCTGAGAATGTTTTGTATCACAAAACTTAACTTGTCTGCTTAACTGTTTTGTTTGTTGGGCTGTCTGCGTACTTGGCGACCTGAGGCGAATACCAGGCACTTATGAGTTTGACATTGAAAATGTCTGGCCTGTGTTAGCATGTTACATTGTTAACCTTTTATATATCCATCTTTCTTTTCACGTCTACATTTATTCATGAAATGCATCTTCCCTTACAACTGCTTTTTTAGAAAAATGCAAAAAAATACCAGAATGAACTCCAGTGCGTTTCATTCCGTAGGATTAGTATTCTGTTGTTGCCGTCCTTAACCAGAGACCTCTAGTTATCAGCCAGTGGGCCATCTTTACCATCAGGAACCTCCTAGAACACAACACGCAGAACCAGGAGCAGATCGCCGCCCTGGAACGCCGCGGCACCGCGGACTACTCTGCACTCAGGGAGTTGGGCTTCCTGGTGGAGGAGCGAGATGGAAGCTTGCTGCTCAAAACTGTGAGGAAAGACTCTTGAAAAGGCCTCAGAGCAGCAGCCAGGAGAGAGGGGGCGCTCGACCCACAAGCAGGTTTTCATGTGAAGTATTTGTTTAGAAAGGAGTACACTCCAGTACTCTTGTTGTGCTACAAGTCTCATTAATGTTACCTAATACTTAAGCTTCATCTGCGGGTGAATTACCTCTCCACTACTAAACATACATACATTTGGTGCCTGTCCAGAATAAGTGACAGCCACACTGCCGATAGTTTAGGAAGAACAACGCTTTAGGAGTTTATTTAATCAGAGAAGTATGCATTAATGACTTTTCTACCTTTTAGTAATGCTTCCGCTCTTGCCCAGATGAGATTTGAGGTATTCTTGAAACACAAAAGGCCGATGGGGTCCCCCTGGCGTAAAAGCAGAGGTCAAGACATCAGGAGCTCTTGTTTTGTCTTGACCTGAGTCTGGGAAATGAAGAGTTTGGGAGAAGCGAGCACATGCTGGGTCCTTTGGCCGGTCGGATGCTTTGTGGTTTAATCCAAAGACAAAGAGCTCCACGGTGTCCGGACTTTTAACTTCTCACAGACACTGATGTTACCAGCAGGGGTTGGGGTTTAATCCCGGGCCCATAGTGACTTCTGCACTAACCGCAAAAACAGAGAATGATCAAAACATGATGTAATCAACCCCCTCACCGCCTTCGCTACTTAAATAGTGGTTTCGTTGCCAGAGGGACGTTCAAACGCTTCAAACTATTTCTCTAAACAGGCATGACATTCATATTCTAATCTAAGAACGTCCGAGTGCAAAATGCAATACTGAAGCTAATAATAACCGAAGCTATGCATGTTTTGTAATTCAAAAACAATGCTCAGCATACAGCATGAGCTTGTCACTATGTCTCTGCTTCTTGTATTAAGGCTATAACAGTAATGAGTTTTATACTCAAACATAGTTAATTTCATTTTATTCCTCATAATCTTAATCTTCTATTTCCATCTTATTACACATTACTAGATAAATAAGAGATAAGGGCATGCATCAGAGATCATTAACCATCTTTAAACTCACTACTTTGAGTTTATGTTTTACACCTTTGACTCTGAACAAGCTTGTATTTGAGTTTTGCCAGACTCCATAGACGTTCTTAGAGATTTAGTGGATGCTGTACTTCCTATCTAGCTGTGTGTGTGTGTGTGTGTGTGTGTGCGCGCTTTTTCTTTTGATCAGATATAGCGATTGTGGTTCAGCAGACAATGGATGAGATCATACTAACTGTACGTCCAAAGAGTGATTGAGTGAATGAATTAATGAGTGACTGAGTGAGTCGGACCGGAGCCATTCGTTTGCAGAATGACATCGCTCCCTGCTCCTCCCGTTGCTGGATAAAGCTGAACAGTCCTGACACCTCAACAATGCGGTGCTTTGCTGGCCTGCTCACACCCTGCCCCACCCTGTTTGCTCTGCCTCTGATTTTTAATGACAAAATGTATTGAAACAATCGGCTGGACTCTCCCCTCAATCCGCCGGCATAGTGAAGGGAGCTTATTGCGGTTCCGGTCCCCAGGATTTCAGACGGCTAACAAAACAGCTGTTACTCGCGCTCGACTGGCTGGCTGCAATGCTTTTCAGCCCCACAGGAAAGAAGGCTGTGCGAGTCAGCCGGGCTGAATGAGGTGGCATGGCCGCCCGGTCACCTCCTAACACATTAGTGCACACCAGTTGAGGCCACAAGTTCTTGTGTTTCCCATATCAGCGTTTTACATCACAGGCCTCTGCTGTATTGTATCTGTGCCTTCTGGTTTGATATTCGCCGTCAACAAAAGGAAACACTTGGTCAGGGTGTTGAGTATTATTGACGCTTGGGTCAAACAATATGTTTATAAAATGCCTAATAAAGTATTGTGTGTGACAAACCGCTTTTTTTTTTTTTTTGTAATGATTTTAAAGACATGGTATAAAACTCAAGAGGCAATAAAAGGAATGCTCAAATTTTATTGGTAAAAAAGAAAAAGATACAACTGTCCCGTGTTTGTACGGGATGCAGACTTTGATTTTGCCACAGAACAAATAAACCTAAACTAGCTGAATATGAAGTCGCAACTACGATGAGTTGTTCCTAGTTACTGAAACACAGAAATGTCTTCGTTCTCAAGATGCACAACTAGTTGGCTGCTGACGCCTCCAACGTATAATATCTACTCGCAATTCTACGCATTTACTCAAATACTTAACGGTGGTTTCCACAAAATGTCCTGGACTTTCCAAATCACTCGGCTTCTACGAGCTCCGTTGAATTGTGAAGGGTCGTCTCCAGATGGACATTCTGTTCTACTTTGATAAAACACGTGGAGTATTTACAATTTAGCAACTTTGATCAAAGAAAAAAACATAAATCCCAAATAAGTTATAGCTCTCAAATCTGAAATACAATGACATTAGAAAAACCACTTGTAAATAGTGACTTTCTGTTCCATCTATAAATGACATAAAGTGCCACGTTCCTCATATAAAAATAAACTCTTCAAATTGTTTTGTAAGTTATATAAAGCCTAAATAAACATTTCTGAATACATTAAGGGTGCTGTCCAAAAATAGCTCTGAGGCCTTTGATCCTCTCGTACCCTCTTCTGTGTGGTTGGGGCACATGCCATCCACCGGTCAGGCCTAAACCGCGCTGGAAGGCCTTGTGTAAGCAGAGGCCATCGTGTGGAATTCCACGTCTCTGCCGTTCATGGGAATGTTGGATGTATCCGAACCCCGATTGCACTTCTATGGCGTTCCAACGAGGCTTACACGCTTTATCTCAGAACTCAAGAGGCCTCCGAAAACAAAACAATGAACACGGTCGGGATGGAGAGGGCCGTTCGAAACTGACAAGTTGGATGCTTAAAATAGTTTGGGAGTGTTTTCTACCTCTTTGGCTCCTGGCGTAACAAAGGGTCTTGTTTTCTGGGGGGGGCGGGATTTGTCCATGAGAGAGATGTCAGCATGGAGCTCACCGACACAACTTACTGATGTTCCATGAAAAAACGGAAAGAAATGTGACTGAGTGCAAAAGAAAAATAGCTAATCTTTAGCGAAATACACCACAGACAACTGCTAATGAATAAACAGGGAATAGCAAAGAATTCAGCGGCTTCGTGGCTGTACATGAGTCCACGTGACTGAACTGTTTCAGTAGCAATTTAAGATCATAAAATAAATGGAAAATGAGTTTATCTATCCTATAAGACTGAGTTCGAAAGATATTTTTTGACATAAATAATTTGTGTTTTATTTTCAGTGTTCAAACAGAATACAGTGTGAGCGTACAGGTAGAAGTATTCCACTTCCATCTTTCAATTCTCAGTCTTCCGTCGTGGCCGTCTGGAGCGCTTTGCTGTTGTCGCATTTCCGATTAGCGTGTTCCGAAAGTCTCCTCGAGATCCAACAATAGTCCTTGTTGTTTCTCCTTTCCTGCAAGACATCCGTGAGCTACGTCTCTGCGAGATGTTGTCTTCCAAAATAGTGAAAATCCTCTCAACTGCAACATGTTTGCATCATGTCACAGTTTTTTTTTTTTATCTCTTTCAGGACTTTTTCTTTTGTTTTAAAGAATTCCAAAATAGGATGTAAAAATGTGCAAATTGTTGAATAAATACTTCCGAGTCCTTCACTTTCGAATTCCGCTTTGTCATAACCCTCTCACCTTCAACCGTTGTCCATTTTCACCAGCCTCTCTCTCTCTCTCCCCTGCTTCCAGTGCCCCACTGCCTCATCCCCTACTTGCAGGTGAAGACTTCTGATTTCTCACTGCACGTGTTGCACTTGACGAAGCAACACCAGTGGAACTTGCAGTTGCACTGCCAGATGCGCGTGTAGTGGTGCGTGTCGTGACCGCGGCCGCAGCACATCAGGTTGCAACCGTCCGTGAGGGTCGAGGTGCCGTTGCACAGTCTCCCCCGCGTCCCCGTGCTCCCCGTGGCCGTGTCCTCCTCGCAGTAGTTGGGCGAGCGCTCCAGGTACACCAGGTCCGTGTCCGTGGGCTTCTGGTAGCCCCGGGCCTCCTTGAGTCGCAGGAAGGAGGGCTGGCGGAGGCGAGAGGCCCGGACCGGCTCTACTTGAACCGCGCCGCTGTAGCGCTCCTTCAGCAGGTAACCGAGCTCTCTGAACTTCGGCAGGGTGATCCAGCAGGTCTTAGTGGTGCAGGAACCAGACACGCCGTGACACTTGCACTCCAGCTTCATCCTCCCCTCTAGCATCTGATCACACAGAGAGTGGAAATTAGGTCTGTGTGAATTTGAAGAGGTGGTTAAGAGCGGAAAATCTATTCTATGTGGTTAATTCATAAATGGTCATTTTACACACGTCCGCAGCTTGACTTTGAAACGGTTAATAGCCATTGCATTGGCCTTCACATCCGTCTCTTTTGGTGAGCTGGGCTTTCTGCGGACACTTCGGCTTTCAGCGCTCCGTCCAGTATGCCAACTTTATGTCAAAAAAAAAAAAACCTGGGGAAAATAACTCGTAAACCAAGACTGTAGTCTCTAATTAACTTTACCTTTCTTCAGACCACAGAATGGCGTGACAGCCTGAGAGAAGTGACCAGAGCTGTTGTGCAACCGTACGTACACGTATAGAATTACACTGTGGTTTCAGCCAGATTTATACTGTAAATATATAAATATTTTAGATGACAAAATTGACAGGTGACTGTTTGCCCTCGTGACTGAGCTTGATGTTAATGTGAAAAAGATTACCTTCACATTTTTGTTATAGGACGGTATGATTATTGAGTCATTAGAACATCTAGTGACTCCAGAGCACGAGTCAAATCGGGCTAATATATTTATAGTAATAAAGCAAATACACAACAGATAACTTCGATCGATGTGATGGATATAGTTTGTTTCGTCAAACTTGCTTGCATTACCTTTCGCCCCGCCTCGTTGTTGTGCAGGTTCATCAGCCGGCGGGCGTTTTTCTTGATCTCACGGGCGTCCACGAAGCGCCGCGAGAACTCCACGCCGTACTTGACATCGGCCGAGCAGCCCCCCCACTTCCAGCCCTCCTCTTGGTCGTGGTAGCCCTGCTTCTCGCGGTCACAGCCGCACTGGCTGAGGTTGCCTTGGCTGCAGGCGGTGGTCACTGCGTGGGCAACTCCGGCTGCAGTGATGGCATAAGTGAACGCTGCCTCCCTGCTGCCTGGAGAGAAACGAGCAGAATCTGAGTGAATATGGAAAGGAGTCATGCAAGTACTCTCTACAGGCAAACTACTTTAAATTGAGTAGATATTCTACAAGTAGTACTAGCAGTCCTTTACCTAGAATGGCGAGAATTGCATGCCCATCATACAGTTACGCTGTTATGGCACCAGCAGGAGGATTTAGGTTTGCTTGACCTTCATCCTTTATCAAAGAATGTGTTGAATTATAGGAACACTGCACCAATTTTATGCATGAATTGCGGTTTACTTGTTATGACAAGTACTACTCAGTCCATGAGACATTTGTATAATGTCTTCTGTGAAATAACCCCCCCGATGATACCTGTGTGGGTTTTTCTAACTTGAACTTGAACTAAATTGATGAAGATGTAAATCCTCCTCCCAAACAGTTGCAGCAAAGCTAGTGGGAGGTTTAGAGAGTTTCCAAACAACGCGTGGCCCAGATAAGGAGTCTCCGAGTTCAGGAGTCTTTTAGTCTTAAATACCGTGCTTAATGTTTCATGAAGGCCATTCAAATAGTTTGGGACAGTCCCAAAATATATGGAAATGATTTGCCTTTCTTGAGCCACATTGGCGGCAATGCGTCAAATTCATATTCTTGTAGTTTTGGACAAATCCCCCCCCCAGCCTTCTCACAAAGCCTCATTCCGGCTTCTTTTTCCACTTGTCTTTAATATACAAGGTGTTTACATTTTTCGCATAAAAGAGAGCTTTTTATAATTAATCAATGTACTTATTTGGCACTGATTAGATACAACTCATGTCACTGTATCAGAACAGTGAAGACAACACAAGTGACATCTACTGGCTGACTGGAGGAGCTTTTTTTTTTTCTGGATCGGCGCTCACAGCCTTGCTGTGTCTTGATGGTATTCATCAATGGAGTTTCTCACGCGGCTTAAGTGTCATTCTGTGTCTGTCTTAGGCGGTCCACATTATTATAGCAAATGATACCGCTGTGTTGCATGTCGAAAATCATCTGTGGCCGGCCTTGACTGAGATGTGCCTAGCCGATCCAAGCTTTAGTGTGTCACCATTTGAACTTGAGAATAAACACATTTATATTTATGGCATGGAAGGGGGAATTAATTTATTGGCACAACAATTGGTTATAGGATATCCTCCCTCTCCAATCAGGATAATGCTGGGCCTCCTTCTTCTCAACAGCCCAGAGTATTAATGCGTGCCGTCTCTGGTAGAGGCGATTCTAATGGCTCCCTTCCAACCTGACAAACTCACTTGCAGGAACCATCGGGCCTGCGGTTCCCCCCCGGCCCATAACTCATAACAAACCCTGAAGTCTTCTCTCATCAGGCTAAATCCGCGACCCATTCGGATATATTGTATGGTGAGCATTCTCTCAAGGCATCAGGCGCATGCAATAGCCAAACAGCCATCTCCCCGCACTGTGATTTGTTTTGATTGCACGGCAGTGCACGCTGGGCTCCATTGTTGCCATCCAGCTGCTGGAGCTGACTTCAATTAGTGGTTAGCATGAATCTCTCTGCTCTTTCTCAATGCTTAATGAGTTCACAGGCCCGGCAGGTCAATCAAATGAAGTGGTGGATGGTACGTAAGCGACACAACAAGGGGGGTAAGGCTCTGGCTTGCATTTCCTGTTTTTTTGGAAAATCGCAAAAATGGTACACGGAGATGGCAAAGACAAAACCCATCTTACTGAGAATCCATGACTTTATTTGTACAATTGGTAACAGTTTTTCATTACTTTTTATACAGATGTAATAGGATTTGAGTCTTCCAGAAAGTACTTATTTGTCTAAAGTGTCTGCGAGGGGAGCACACAAGGGCCTACGCTGGGTCCAAAGCGTCTCTCCGAGCTCGTTTACACACCACAAGAGAAAAGAGACATTCCCGCTGACAAAAGAAATAAAGGGATCCAGACGTCTGTCTGCCTGTGTCCCGTGTTGAAGAAAGTGATTGCTCCCAGGGCTGCTAGATTAAACACGGATCCAAACCCACAGCAGGACCGCAACAAAACATTTCGGACTCGAATACAATTTATATGAGAGGTTCACATTAGGAGAAAACGGGCTTCTGTGAGAAATCAAACCGGGAAGAATGTTGACTCGGAGCAGCGAGGTGTGTTGGCTTGTGTGTTCATAGATTGTGTAGGTTTGATATAGAAATGCTTTCAGGAGATGCCACACCCAGATAGGCATTAGACCCTGCTTTATAAGGTAGTCTTCACATTCCATTCATGACTGCTTCGCTGTGACAATATGTGTGTTGCAAGCACAGTGATGTCACACACAGATTTAATGACACTTGCGAGGCCTTTTGAGTTGCAGTTTTTTTTGTGTGTGTTTTAAAAGAGGCAGAGAATTTATTTTGCGGTCGCTGCATTTGGTATTCCAAACAGAAATGCTTTTGTCAAAGCATTCCCACCCATCTTTCAGTCTTTTGGGCCACTTAGTTGAGCTACGCTGCAACCTTTTCTCACGCCGCCGACAACAAGTACAGGAGGTTCGAGGACATTACGAGGAGAATAATGCTTCAATGATTGGAAAAAAAACAAGCAGACCACACAGCTCAGTTGTGGTTTGGTTAGGCCAATTAAAAGTACCTGTTGACATTAACCTTTACATGCCTGTGCAGATTCAAGCGACGCCAAAAGGAGGGACGCGTCGCCCTGATCACACATCAGTTCACACTCGTGCCTCAAAGCTGAGATTTTTCTGTGGCTAAGCTGACTGTTGTCTAACTCATGTAAAAGCAGTTTTGCCCCTGGGGGTTTATCTTGAACCTTAGCCTCCTCGTTGCATCGCTCTCCCCTCATTTCCTGTCATCTATCTATTGTTAAAATATCTAATAACGGCATAAAAAATGCCTAAAAACAAACATTGTTGTCCCAGAAAAATCCTCTGAGCAACGTCCCACTCAGCCTACTTTTCTATTGACTACATCGAGAAGAATATGTTTAAAACAACTTTAAAGAAGCTGCGTTTCAAACAGACTGACCTACTCTCAGCTCTTGTCCAAAGACAGTCCTCTGTCCCAGGGCGGAGCAGTTCCACCGGCCGTAGCGGAACTGGTGCTGACACTCGTTGATGCCCAGCTGAGCGCCTTCGCCGATGATGATGATGGCGTCGGGGCGACTCTGACAGAGGGCTCTCTGACGGGGGGCCAGTCCCGGTATCTTGTTGCAGATGATGTTGGCACCTAGAGCTACCACGGAGGACAGCGCCCTAAGGCAGAGAGAACAAACGGGGATTAATGAGAAGGGGAATTGAGAACAGATGAGACATGGAGAAACAAAAAATTTACCTGAAAACATACGCAGTGTATTGTTTGAATTCTGGGCCCTGGTTGAACAGGACTTGGCAACGATTTTGGGACAATAAGCACTAAGGTTTTTGTTCTTTTTTTGGCTAAAGTTTTCATGACAGTTGCCAGTCCATAAAGACAATCCCAAATAATCAAAACCAAATGAGAAGATATGAGCAGACTCCCATCATGTATAATCTAATGGACCTTCATAAAGACATGTAAGGGAACAATAGTTAATTTGGGTCCAAATCCAGTGCATTTCTGTCTGCCTCTCTCTTTCTGTCCGTGTTACAGAAAACATGAACCACCACAGCTATTTCAAGTTTCAGGGCCTGCCCTTGTTATGAATGAGAGGCATGTATGGTGCAGCAATCATTCGCTTTGTGAGGGCCTGGGTCTTTTAATGCCATAAGAAAGAGCTCATTCCATAGGCCCGCGCCTATATAGGCAGAGCATGAAGTAGTCCAATATGTCTCTTTTCCATATGCGGCTTTCCAATTGTGGCTCTTGTCTGACGAGGTGCTCCTATGACAAAGTCATTCTGGTGAACCCATAAGAGCAGGTTATCTCATCAGCTGCCTGTACATGTGAGAATCAGGTGGATTCAACTTTGGATTTAATGAGTCTAATCATCATTGACTCTTCATAACGAGTCGATTTATGATAACAAATTAAAATTACACAACTGCTCAGAAATACGTGGTAGCACGTGATTCCATTGTGGAATAACAGGAAGACGATACACCACACAAGTCATTTCCCACCAATGTTTTCAAAATTGTGGTTGACTGAAAATAATAGTTGCATTTTTTTTTTTCATTTCTGAAACAATCTCTCTGCAATAGCAGAACAACATTTAGCAATTTTAAAAAGAGATTTAATAAAACACCTGCAACAACCAGCTAATGCTCTCCAGGCGCGATCAAATGTCCCCGCGCGTAATTGGCCAATTTGCGCGCAAGGCACAACTAATTGCTAGCAAACGTATACGTGTGTTTGAGTTGACGAAGTGCATGGATAAGAAACCTACAGGTAGCTACCGCTGGTGAGGATGAGGAAGATCTGTGGGTAGTAGATGGACAGCAGCGCACTGCGGGACGAGATGATGAGCATGGTTGCGCATTTAACACAACTGGCTCTGCTCTCTTGCGGTTTCGAAAATAGAAGAAGAAAAGAAAAAAAAGTCGTGGGTAGAAGTATATCCTTTAAAAAAAAAAAAATCGCAGTCCAAGAGTTAAACGCGGGAGCGATCGTCTCTTCTTTCCGCTGTGTGAGGAGGTGGTGTCTTCAGCTAGTGGAGCCGTGGCGCGCTGCGGCAGCTCCAAGCTCCGCTGTCCATGTGTTGGAGATGAGAGGCTGCATCCCACGGCCGAAGTGCGCTCTGCCACCTGGACCGATAGAGGACTGGGTTGGAAAGAGGGGGTGGGGGGGCAGAGTGGGTTCCGGATGTCTCTAAAAGTGAGACTATTGTGACTTTGGAAGGCACCAGCCCCCGGGATGAGTCTGCACCGCGCATCCCACCGTATCCCCACCCCCAACACACCTCCTACCCCCATCTCTCTCTCTCTCCCCCCTCTCCCAGTCATAGTTTTTTACTCTTTCTCACCTGTGACCCTCTGGGTACAATCATTCCACCATGCCACCCAAAATTCATCTTAAATGCATTTTAAACGTGACATTACTCTTCTGTAACAATCAATTTCTGTAATATTGCGATCCATAATGAATTCACATATTCATCCTTGTCTCCGAATAAGAGCGTGACCAAGGCACTTTAAAAGAATAACCACACATGACTTATCTCATCATGCCTTGCATAGCTCCTGGATGTTATTGTGGCATGATTTTTTTTTTGACTTCAAAATAACATGGAATCCTGTTTTACCTTTACCATGAAGTTATGAAACAGTTTGTTGATGTGGGAAAGTGGGCCAAAGAGGGCGGGAAAAGACATCTAGAGTTGAAACCATCGGTTGATAAATTCAACATCCGATCGACAGAAAATGACTCTGCAACTATTTGAAATATAGATTTAAACTAAACATATATGGGGACTGTTGGGCTTTATGTATCTGTTGACTCTTTCTGACATACTTTTAGGCAAAGCGATTAATTGGTGGATCGGGAAAATAGTCACCAAACAACAAAGATAACAACCGTTAATAAAAGACTATGGATTAACTTTTATGTCATGTATCACCTGATGATATGCATTATAAATCCCTGCAGGGAATACCTCCTTGCTGAAGTGCTTCAGTCAGTCAGTTGATGAGACTCTGTGGGCTTCCAGCTCACATGTTCTGCTGGTGCATCACCAACAATACGCCCTCCTGTGGCCGCATGAAGGAAATGTCATCATCCCAAAACATCTGGCTCGACGTGATGCTGGAGTGCACAGCAGATCATAGACTATCGGTAAGCTGCAGTTTATCAAGTTCTACTTTTTAATGAACAAGGCAGAAAAAAGAAGACCTTTCTCATTTGGGAAAGAAGGAGAAGTTGCCTTTTTTTTTGGGATTAAGAGCTATGTGACATTTAGACGCGACATTTTTTCAGCATGGTGACTTTTGTTAAACCCAGTCTTTGAAGTGAAGTGTCGAGGTGTAAGCCGATGGGAAAGCCAACAAGGACGGCACAAAAGGAATGTATGCTGATCCGTCCTTTTAAAGATGTTCCTTGCAAACAGCGCCCTGTTTGCCGTGGAACTTTAAAGAGTTTTTTTTTTTTTTAAGTACAATGGGAGGGGGCCATCCTGTTCAGTTCCACGGCACCTTCAAAGGACGAGGGCTTTTATAGGTCTACTACACAGAGTGGACGGGGGACAAAGTACATATCTTCTTCGCTTGTTGTTGACATTTTGTCGGCCGAAATTTGAGACATTCTGATCTTTACTTGAGCGGAACAAATAACCACGAGGAGATAATATGAATAAGATTTGTTCCGCAGTGCGATATCAATCGGAACAAAAGTGAGAGACCCTGGCTTAGAAAACGATTGAGGGCAGTTTGTGGAAATGCACCTTTTATTTTAAATTCTCTCTGGCTGCCAACCAAGCGATTTGAGAGATTGCAGTGATGTGGAGCGTAAAATAATAGAACGCTTTTCATACTTTGGCTGTTATGAGATTGGCCTGATCGTTACGCCCACTCAAACTGTGTGTAACTATAGCTGCAGTCAGATATGCGCCGTAGTGTCAAGAATGAGAAGCCGCTGTGCAACTAAACCGGACCCGTCTTGGCTGCCGAAACCTCGTCACAGGAACTCCATCGACGGCTATTTCAGTGGACGACTCACAGATAATGTCAGCAGAGGCAGAACCCTTTGTGTCTATATCTATCTATCTATCTATCTATCTATCTATATATAGGCCCATATATCTATATCTATATATCTATATCTATATCTATCTATATATATCTATATATATCTATCTATATCTATCTATCTATATATAT